CGGGGATTACATTCCCCATCCCCGACCCCGACCCCGACCCCCAAACCACCCCCCATCCCTATCCTCGATCCCTGACGGGGAAAGGAATCATCCCTCCATCCTCGACCTCGACGGGGAATTCATCCTCGTTGGAGATCCGAATCCCCAACAAACTGGAGACTAAGAGTCTTCGTCTCAGAGAGAGAGAGAGAGAGAGGACCGTTGTGAGAGCTGAGGTCGGCGATGATGATGAAGGTTGAAAGAAGATTATAGAACTGAAGCTCTTCTTTGAGTTTCTCTTCTCTGTCCTCTATCGAGACTTGAGTATCTTTGTCCTCTGTCCGATATCTGACGGCGACGAGCGAGTGGCTATAGTCAGCGACGACAGTCGACAAATCAGCGATGAAGACGAACTCACGAAGGAAGATGAAGCTAAGGTTCTATCGAAGTGTTTTACTATCGAGTCATCGAGTGTTTTATTGGTTAAGTGTTTTACTTTTTTTTAAGTTTTAATCTTTAAAAAAAACGAATAATGATTAATATAATATAATAATATATATATATATATATATATATATATGTATAATTATATATATTAATGGGGGATGAGTTGGGGCGGGGATTGCATTTCCCGTCCTCGTCCCCGACCCCGCCAAGGTACCCGTACCCCCATTCCCGATCCCGTCGGGTCGGGGAGCCCGGGTACCCGTCGGGGACGGGGACGGGGAAAATTGCCACCCCTGAATGGCCATTCCAACAGGCGTCAGGGATAGGTAATTCTGGTTCCGATTCTATCCGCGAACCAAACGGACCCTTAAGTCTCAAAAACCAGAAAAACCGGATAACACAAAAAACCGGTCGCCACTACATAACTTGTTAGAGCCGTCAATCCATCATCGCTCTCCCTCTCGGCTCTCGTCTCTGGTCAGTCTAATTCCACTCCCTCAGGCCTAAAAGCTTTTTTGAAGCTCGGCCATGGCGACTATACGAATGATAGGCAAGTACCTCTGCAGCACCCACCCAATACCTTATGCTCTCTGTTTCTTCTACACCGGTCTCTAATTCATAATTGTTCTCTGTTTCGTCAATTTAAACAGATATAGCTGTTAACTTCACAGGTGAGGAAATGTCACCAACACGTCGTGCTCAATTTCCACCTCACCTATTCTTTTCGCATCATATTGTGTGTTTTCGTCCTAAAAGTTAACAACAAACACTGTACAGATGGCATGTTCAAGGGAGTTTACAATGGCAAGCAGTGCCATGTAGCAGATATTCCTTCTGTCCTCAGTAGGGCATGGAGCGCCGGAGTTGACCGGATTATAGTAAGTGCATCCACCGTTTTCTTCCAGCTTTACCTCGCGAGTGACAAGTCACGAGTCGTTCACAACCGGGTTATTACTCATTTATGATATTAATTTAATCTGATAATTGTGCGTTGTGTTGGGCAAGGTGACTGGTGGGTCGCTAGAAGAATCAAGGGAAGCTCTAGCCATAGCAGAAACTGATGGTCTGCTTCTTTCCCCTATTTGGTTCACTCGCTGTCCTTTCTACTTGATTTGTGATCTTTTTAAGATGTTTATTCCTTCATTCTTCTTGTCTTCAACTTAACATTTCTTTTTCCTGCTCACAAGTGGATTGTCGTTTGCAGGGAGGCTTTTCTGCACTGTTGGGGTGCATCCTACCCGATGCAAGGTGATTAGTTATTCATTTGGATTCTTCTTCCTTTTTCCCCTTTTACTTATTTCTTTTTTTCGTTCAGTATTTTCATTGTTTGTTGGAATTGTTGGATTGTTGACTCTGTTGCTATTGTTCAGGAATTTGAAGAGAGCGGTGATCCAGAAAAGCACTTTCAGGCACTATTGTCCTTGGCTAAGGAAGGAGTTGAGAAAGGAAAGGTGCAATTCTGTATTCTTGATTATGTGTGTAAAATAATTTTTGATGCTTGGACACGCACTAGTGTTAAGAGCACACGGATTATATTGTTCTCCAACGGATCATTGGAGTTAAAACAATCAAAACTTACTCCAGCTTCTTGTGGTCCAATGTTTGAGTAAGGAGTATACTAGGAAAAACAGGTTAAGCTGCAGCTCACTTTTTTTAGTACTAGATTAATAATTTTTTTTTAATGTTGTAAGATAATGGGTAATCTTGATTGATTAAAGTTGAGACACATAAAAGGATTTCTTTTTTTATTCTATACGGAATTGTGTTACTTGGTCTCTGTTTGATTTGCTATAAAAAGGGTGGGAATTTTTCTGAAATATTTTTTTTTTTGTTTTATTTCCAACTATTTTATGGAAAAAAACTTTGTTTCTCTCCTTTTACATGAATGCAGCCTCAGCAGAAAAAAAATTAAGTCAAAGGTAGCTTTCTTCTTAGTGTGACTTGTGTTGTAGAAATGCTTAAAAAGAGACAAGTAGATTTTCTGAGGCATTGTTATTCCTTCAGAGGATTATGTTTTTTGTGATCGTAATCCAGAAACTGCAGATCATATCCTCATCCATTGTCAGTATGCTGCAAGTATTTGGGCATACTTAAACAATTTGTTGAATGTCAAATGGCCCCAATGCCTGTAAGGGAGCTGGTGGTTGGTGGAAGTAGTCTTAATGATAGAAGGAAAATCCTCTGGAGTATTATAGTTTGTCTTCTGATCCATTTGGAAGGAAAGAAGCCTGAGTATTTGAAGGAATAGAGAGATCTGTGATAGAAACAATGCCTCAATACCTGTTTTCCCTCTCTTTTTTCTACAGTACATAACCAGGATGTGAGGGTGGTGGAGTGCTATAAAATACAGCATAATGAAGCGACTTGGTGCCCCTAGTTCAGATGAAATCTGAATGATTGGGAGATTTAGTCTTTTTTGCATCTTTTGCAGCTGATCCAACACTGTCACATCACAAACAGCAGTGGAGGATGGAAGGACCTGGGTGCTAGAGAAATCAGTTTTTATTTTATTTTATTTTTTTTATCCTGTGGTGAAATCTATGTTCGAATTGCAGGAGCCCGTAGTTGAGGGTTTGTTTCCCAGATGCAAAATTTGGAAGGTGGGCGTGCCATCGAAGGTGGTGTTTTTGGTTTGGACAGCATCCTTGGACAAGTGTCTGACTAGAAACAGTCTGCAGAAGAGGCATGAGGGTGAAGGGTGTTGCTTGTGTACTCTGTGATTCCCACCCTGGATCGGGTTTGCACTGCCAGGGTGCCACCAGGCTTTGGCTAGATATTTGGATTTTTTCAGGTGAAGTTTTACTTCCAAAGATCCTTGAATGAAAGCTGGCATTTACAGAGTTTGAGCAAGACAGGGCAGTTTGGAATATGTTACCTTTGCAGTTAGTTGGACCCTCTGGACTGAACAGAACAGTTGTACTTTTTTGAGAGGAAAGATAACAGATTTCATTAAACAAAAAAGAGTACATGAGAATATGTACAAAAAGCACACAGATTATAAAGGCATTACTCTCTCACTATGTAAAAATTCCCTGTGAGCTCTTGATTTAGCCAAACAATCTGCTACTGAGTTTAATTCTCCGGGGATCCAGAACAGATTTGCATTCAAAGAGCCCAGAAGATCTCGAGCTTCATCCAGATAATGAGCTGGCCTCCACGGTCCTCCATTCTTCTCCCCTAATGGTATTGGTTGAACCACCTTTGATGACTAGGGAAGACAAGCCAAGGTCTTTTGCAATCTGGAGTCCAGTTAGCACGGCTAAAATTTCAGCCTTTGTAGAGTCTGCTATCCTGATTGGACCACTGTAAGTCCACAATAAATCTCCATTCCCTCCCTTAAACACAGCACGATCCCTGCTAGACCAGGTCTCCCAAGGCACTTCCATCAAGGTTCAGGGTCACCTCCTCTTCTATTCTTGAGTGAAGGATGCTTGTTGTTTTTGGAGAGGATGGATAAGAAAACAGGATCTCCACAATACTTTTCTGAAGATCATTCAAAGAAACACCTTTAAACTCCTCTGAGTTCAGCATCCATATGTTGCACAAATAGACTATGTAGGATAACAATTCATCCATAGATCTAGCTTTATTATTGAAGATTCGGTTGTTTCTCTCCTCCCACACCTCCCACAAAAGTGCTTGAACCAACAGTTGTATTTTTGATCAGATAGCCTGCTTGGTGGGCATGATGGAAAGGAAAATGTTTGGAAAGTTGCGTTCTTGGCTGTCTCTCCATAAATCTTTTAGGGAGATTGATAATAAGTCCTTTTTTGATCCTAATGATCTTTTTGCAAATGGATTCATACTTCTTAGATACAGTTGTACATCCTGGGTGTAAAGTGCGTCATTGTACAGGGATTTTGTATTTCTGTTTTGAATTTTCAATCAGTACGCTACACTTTTTAAAAAAAAGGGGGTTAAACCATGTTTGATCTTCCTTGACTTCTCCAAGTATCACTTTAAATAGTCGTCATGCTGGCATCTACAAAACTTTGCATCTTCTATTTAAGTGTCCCTGTGGATGGAAGCTTGTAGGGAGGAAGACAAAGGGACGGAGAGGGATGGCTTGTGTGGCATCCAAGAAGATGAAGGAGCGCAAGTTAATGACACTTATTCAATTTTGGCAAATTGAAGTTTGGGGAAGGTAAAAGGAAGAGAACACTCAGTAGAATGCCTTGACAGATGGATTTAATTTGATGCATGCACATAAGCCTGTTTTTCAATGGAGAAGTCTAAGAGGTCACAGGAGGAAGGGCCAGATCGGGTTAACCTGTCAAACCAGGAGGGATTGGAGCAAGCTATCGGGTGTGATATTATTAGTGGTCACATGGGAGGTAATAAGGCATCTTGCTCGGATGGGCTTGTTTCTTAGAAGCCCAAAATAAATGGGTCAGATAAAGAGATGGGGTCTATGGATAGTATTTTAGTGATTATTGAGGAGGCACATGAAATGTTAAGTGAGCATGTGATTGGTTTGGGAGGGGAGATGAAGGTTTTTTTGTTTTTTTTTTATGAATGAGGGGAGTTAAAGTTTACCATTGAGGGGATATCATCTTCCCCTACTTTTGCTCATGGGGGAGATGATGGACCTGGTGCAAACATGAAGTTGAATGTTGGTTCTCAGGGAGCAGAGAGAAAACGATTGAAAGGGAAGAAGCAGATGGACTTGTTGTGCCATGATTTTTTCACAATGGCATGATCCTGTATCAGTGGGCCAAAGGTGTTAGGGAAGGGTCTGAATCAGCTTTCTTTGATGGAAGGGAGGAAAAGAGGTTGGAAGGAGAGGGAGGTGAAGAGGATGAGAAAATCTCAAGGAATGCTGCAAGTGATGGTGGAGGAGTTGGAAAAAAATGGCCTTGATAAGGACGCAGAGGAAAGGGAAGGAAACGAAGATGTTGAAGTAAATGAAATAAGGATCTACTAGAGGAGAAAATACAAAGCAGTTCCTTTAGAGGATGGTTCACAAACGGAAAAGGATGAAGATGATGAGATTCATGAAGTTGAAAGAATGGATGATTTGGAAACGGTGATCAGCAAAGAGGTGGAGGTAAGTAAAAGGTTGGGTTTATTCTTCTTGGGTGGAGAGGATTTTGCTAGGAAAGCTTTCTTGGATGTGGAAGAGGACCCAGGTGTGTTTTTGAAGGCCAGTAAGAAGGACATAACAACTTCTGAGGCTCCTTCTACTGGGGGGGGGGGAGGATGACAGATTTTAGAAAGGAGCAAAATCTTGGCAATATAAGGGAGGTAGTATGACAGCAGAGCAAGTGTTCGTGAAGAATGCAGTCTTGGAGCTTGAAAGGGTGAATGAGAAGAATGGAGATAAAAAGGTCGGTGAGGGTCATCCTAATGCAATTAAAAGATTTAGGCATAAAAAATTCAACAGATCTGTGCCAGTTTTGAAGGTGTTTGCTAGACTGAAGGGGGGGGGGGAGTGTGACAGCAGAGTAAGTGTTCGAGAAAAATGAAGTCTTGGAGCTTGAAAGGGTGAATGAGAGGAATGGAGATAAAGAAATCGGTAAGGGTCATCCTAATGCAGTTAAAAGATTTAGGCATAAAAAATTCAACAGATCTGTGCCAGTCAAAGGTGTTTGCTAGACCGAAAGGGGGTCTATTTGGGGTTGGAATCAATAAGAAGGTCAAGAAGGTGAAGAATTGTAAAGAAAAAGCAAGAGGTTCCTAACGTTACTGTTGCACATTTGGGGTGAGTGAATTTTGTTCTCTTTTGGGTTGGAGATTTAGTCTGGGTGGTCTGTCTGGTTGGGTCTCTAGATGGAGAGTTGGGTGTCAAGTGTTGTGTCGGTTTGTCATTCTATTTGGTTTTTGGGATGGGAGTGGTGTGCTTGAGGTTTGTTAGGGTGGGGTTGTTTTGTTCGGTTTGTGGTGATTTCTTAGCACTCTTTGTATTTCTTTCTTTCTTCTTTCTTAATAATTTTTTTCTTTATTTATCTTCAAAAATATATCTCCAATGCTTTGGCAAATCACTTAGGTAATGTAAGTATCAAGTATGGCTATCATATAATTTCTTTATGTATCTTCAGCCAACTTTCCTTGGCTTCTAAGTATAATTTCTTGTTTTCTTATTAATCCTTCATACTTCTGTTGTATAGGTGGTGGCAGTTGGTGAATGTGGATTAGACTATGACAGGCTTCACTTTTGCCCATCTGAAATTCAGAAGAAGTATGCTCAAAACTTGATGAATTTCAGTAGGAAAATTTTTTTTCTTCTAATACTAATTCTTTTTTATTGCATGATTTTTCTTTAACCGTATACCATTACCAAAAAGAAATTTTCAGTTTATGTGATTCTTTCTTGTTTATTTCTTCATGTCTTCATAACTAGATATTTTGAGAAGCAGTTTGAATTAGCAGATGCCATGAAGTTACCCATGTTTCTGCACATGCGTGCAGCTGCTAAAGATTTTTGTGACATTCTATCACGAAATAAAGAGAGGTGAGTTTTTAGAACCTTATGAATTTTCCTAATATCAATTTCATAGTTTACTCTTGTATACAAGGGAAAATTCTACAATAAGTGCACTGAAAAAAATGTTATAATTGTAAAAGTGAATATCAAGGGACATGATCACAAGTAGATGGGGGGCCATATAAGTTGACATTCCCTCCATAATCACAAGTAGATGGGGGGCCATATAAGTTGACATTCCCTCCATAATCACAAGTACATGGAGGGAGTCAAAACATACTGTATGGTTGGAGCCGTTGACAGTGGCACAAGTAGATGGGGGGCCATATAAGTCATAGTTAAGTTAACTGTGTGATCCTCTCTACCACAATGTGAGCATTCACTAATTGATCCATGTCCACCACCCCTTATACCTCCAACTTCTCTTCCCTCGCTATAGCCACCTCTAGGCCCACAACCAAAACCTCTTGTAGCACCTCCACCTCAGCCCCTAACTCATCGGCCTGCAAAACCTCCTCTAGAAATTACTAAGGCTGATTTCTCTGAGGTAGGAACATGGTCACTATAAGGAGTTGAAGCTCTCCTTATATGGGAGAAAACTTCAGATAAGGAGGGGAGATCAATGCTGCCCAAGATTTGAGCCTTCACTGGTTCAAACTCAGACTTCAATCCTGACAGAAATCTTGCAACATCAAGATGCTCCCTCTGTTCTTGTTGCACCTTCAAGTCAGTGGACAGGGAGGAGCTGATAGACATTTAAGCTCATTTTTCAAGTTCTTCAATGAAGCATAATACTCTTCAATTATCCTCTTGTTAAGAGAAAAATAATCTTGTTATAATTGATATATTCTTGTGACATTATCTTGTCCAGAATATAATTGCTTAGCATGGTCCCAAATTTCCTTAGCTGTATTAAGGAACATAAGATTCACCTTGATGTGGTTCTCCATGCTATTCCATAAGGAAGTCATGATTTGAGCATTCTCTTGTAGTCACTCATTATATCTTTTTGATCCATTCTTCAATGGACCCTTCTTAATATACTTCAACTTACCTCTTCCAATAAGAGACACCTCAAATGACTTAGCCCATGGTATATAGTTGGTACATTGAGTTTTACTGTGGCCAACTGTGAATTCATTAGGTCTAATTGCACCACCACTGTAGGTTTAGGGTTACCACTTGATGAGGCCATAGGAAAATGTAAAAGGATCACTACACTTTTCTTGAACACAAAGGGAGCTTCACACACCAACAGTCCACCAATACACCACAAACTACTACTCACTTCACCACATTGAAGACTAAACACAGCTGCACCTATGACATCTATAAATCTGCTCCTCTTCGAACTGCCGAGTGGAGGAAGCTTAGCAAACCATCACCAACTCACGAACAGCCACAACTTTAGGCATCAAAGCCTCATTTCCAAAGGGGTGACCAATCCTTTGTTGGTCCCTTTTTCCTCCTACAAAGAATAGAGAATATTCTCTACTTTCTAGGGCAGAAAAGAACGGTGTTAACAGTAATCGGCTCTGATACCATGTGCCAACCTGAAAGGAAAAGAAAAAGAGAAGAAAGAGAAGAGAAAGAAGAGGGAAGAAGAGATAGGAAGAAAGGGAGGAGCAGTCAAGAGAAAATCAGTTACTTTCTTGACAGCTGACCCTTTATATACTTCTATTCATTACTGTCAAATGTACAACTATGAAAAAAGGGTCGACAAACAATAGGAAAAAGAAAAAAAACTACCCCTGCTGACTTCAACAGATTGTGAACAAATTGGGGATGAGGGTAGGAATGGGATGTTAGAAAATTTAGAAACTATATTAGTCGTAATTTGGAACTTAAATGCGAAATGCAAACCCTAAGAAACTATTTGTTAGTAATTCAGTAATAATCAATAGTGTTGTATTCTATGGTATATGTTCATAGTCACATCATTTTTTCCTTGTCTACACATCTAAAAGAAATGTGCATTTTATGGCAATTACCCAGTAAAACTGTTGTTTAGGTAACCACCTATTGATGAAAGCAGCATTGTTCTACAAATTGCCTAGGTAGCACTTCCCTGGTCACGGGCCAAGGTCTCATTGCCTATGTGATGTATTGACAACAAGAATTCTAACGTCTGAACCTATTTTTACTTGCTAAATGGATGTTTTGACTCTGTACTGTTGCTGGATTTCTATTTTTGCCTACTTATAGTATATCCTTTTATGTGATATATCTAATGAAATGTTATCCGCTTGTTTGGCAGGTTCAGTGCCGGGGTTGCCCATTCATTCACTGGCAGTGCAGAAGATCGTGACAAGCTCTTATCCTTCAATGATCTATTTATAGGTGAATATTTGTTTGCTGTTAAGTTAGAATTCCATTTAATCCTTTGCATAATTTTAATGTTAGGACTGTATTCCTCCTTCCTTGGAAAATAAAAAGAAAAAAAAGGAAAAAGAAAAGGTTCACATTAGAAATTGGGTACTTAATTTTTTTTAATTTTCAATATATTTATTCACATCACTGTTGGTTAAAATACAACAAGAACATTGCTGCTTTTAGCCTAAAACCCCAAGATCTCCTGGATTACCCATTTGAACTTCCATCAAAATTTAACTTTACCCTTTGTTGTGTTGCTGGTGTCCAAGAAGGCTGAAGAACAGGCTGTCTGGTTGAAGAGTTTGGCACTACTGACCAACCCCTTTGTATATCATCCACTGAAAAATCTTTAAATAAGTCACTTACTTTCAGCCAATGTATGACCTTAATGGCTACACAGTCAATGCCCCCCGATGCTCAATGTAGTTCTTTGCCTACCCCCAGTTGTTTCACTCACAAATCTTACTACATTGAAATCTCCCCCTAGACAACAAGGTCCTTCCCAAAGTCCCCTAATATCCCCAAGCTCCACCCACAATTTATTCCTTTCTCTATATGAGTTTGACCTGTAGACATTCGTGAGAACCCATTCACATGCGTCCTACACACCCTTCAACTTAATAGAAACTGAGAATCTGCCCACTAATTCTTCCAAACATTGAACTGCTTTTTATCACCCGGCCTCCACATTGTTATAATGCCCCCCGATGCACCCCATGAGGGAGCAAAGCTCCAATTAGTATTCCTCTCTCCCCACATGCTCCTTATCCATTTCTTGTCTACTTCCTGAATTTTGGATTCTTGGATTAGAACAAAATCCAGTCTCTCCTTCCTCAGTAATTCTTTGATTACTCCTCTTTTTTGTGGCACTTCCTAATCCCCTTTTATTCCAACTATTAATCTTCATGATCACATCATTGTTGGTTAAAAAAACAACAAGAAAATTGTCGCTTAGGCAGGGCGAACCCTTTCTCTCTTTCTATTTACTTTGATTGCTGAAGCCCTAAGTAAATTGATTTCGAGAGCAAACTATGTGCAGCTATTCAGGGGTTGGTTAGTTGGAGGGATAATGTTTTGGTCACTTATAGTTTGTAGATGATATTCTTATTTTTTGTGATGGTGAAAGTAGGGATGGAGGGGAAAATCTGAGGCTGGTTGTGAAACTCTTTGGGAGGATGTCTAACTTGAGGATTAATTGGTCAAAGAGCTTATTGGTTGGAACCAACATTAAAGAGGATGAAGTGAGGTTTTTTGCAAATTCCCTAGGTTGTGAGAAAGGAGAGTGGCCATTGAAACACTTAGGCTTACCCCTAGGAGGCAACCATAGATCTGCTATTTTTTGGTCTTTAGTGGTGGAAAGGATCGAGAAATGCTTGGCAGGGTGGAAAAGGAACTATATCTCATTGGGGGGGGGGGGGAGAATAACTCTAATCAAGTCTACCTTAGCAAATCTTCTAGTGTACTACATGTTAGTGTTTAGGATGCCACAAATGATAGTGAGGAAAATTGAAAAATGTCATGAGGGATTTTCTTTGGGAGCCAGGGGAAAAAAAGGAGGATCATTTGGTTAGATGGGAAAAGGTGATGAAATTGAAGGTGGAAGGGGGTTTGGAAATTGGTAATGTTAGGCTGAAGAATCAGGTTCTGCTTTGCAAATGGCTTTGGAGGTTTCCAAATGAAAACGAGAAATTATGGCACAAAGTTGTTGCAAGCATCATGGCATGTCGAGCAACGGATGGGATGTTGGATGTCTCCGTAGGAGTACCTTGGCTGCTCCCTAGAAGGCCATCCACGATGTTCTCCCTACCTTCCTAAATCATATCAGGTACGACTTGTCTTCTGTAGTAAAATCAGATTTTGGGAGGATGTTTTGATTGGAGATACTCCTCTAGGTGAGAAATTTCCTTCTCTTTGTGATCTGTCCAGGTTCAAGGGTAAGCCTATTTCATATTTCCTAAGTCAACCATCTCACCTTCCAGGGTTGAATTGGAACTTTGGCTTTAACAGGAACCTTAGAGAGTCTGAACTTCTTGCAGTGTCCGGGCTGTTAGGATTGCTGAATTCATTTTTCTTGGGAGAAGGTGGGTTAGATTCTAGGATTTGGGGTCCTAATTCTGACGGGTTGTTTTCTTGTAAATCCCTTCTACAATCATTGGTTGCTACTCACTCTTCTCATCCTTTCCCCAGTCAAAGAAATTTGGTGCCCTCCCCCCCTAAAATCAGTACTTTTTGTTGGGAAGTATTTCATGGTTGTATTAATACTTTGATGTACTTCAAAGGAAAAGACCAAATTGGTGCTTGTCCCCCAACTGGTGTGTCCTGTGTAAGTTGAGTGGCAAGACTGCTTTCCACCTTCTAATATCTTGCCCTTTTGTCAGTTTTATTTTGAATTGGTTTACTTCCCTTTTTGGGTGCAGGTGGTTTTCTCCTGACAGGTTGGAAGGTTTATTCAGCCCTAATGGTATTAGTGGCATGAAAAGGAGGGGTAGGATTCTATGGAGGTGTACTACAGCAGCACTACTTTGGACTGTTTGGGAGGAAAGAAATGCAAGAATATTTGAAGGAAAAGAAAAATGTAAGGAAGCATTAGTCGAAACAATAACATTGAGGGTGGCACATTGGGTAAAAAGCTTGAAGTTGTTTTCAGCTTTTAAGGTTGAAGACTTTTTTAGGGTGTTCGGGGACTTATTGCTGCCTCCTCATCTACGAGACAACAGTTTTTTGAGGCATGCTCTCCTCCAACAGATGGTTGGAAGAAGCTGAACTTTGACAGGAGTTGTGTGGGTAATCCATTAGAGATGAAAATGGAAACATTATTGCTATGTACTCCGGTCTTGTGGAGCAGGGTGATGTGGTAAGGGCAGAATTTCTGGCTGCAGCATATGGGGTTGAGAAGGCTAAAGAGTTGGGTATTAATAGACTGATCATCGAGGGAGACTCAAAAACTGTGATAAAATGGTTGCGGAAAGGGGAAGGGGTGACATGGCAGTTGACGGATGAATTCCAAAGACTTAAATGGATGTCAAGGAACATGTCAATCCAGGTGGGATGGATTAGGAGATCTGCCAACAGTTTGGCAGATAGCTTAGCAAAGCAAGGGGTTCAAAGAACACATATGTTTTTGGCACATTTGTAATTCTGTTCCGGGTCAGCTTACTAAAGCTGGCTTCTTTCACAACTTCTTGTTGTATCCTAAAGTTTTCTAATTAATGAAATCTTTGCAGAGTTATTGATCAATATATATATATATACTCTTGGAATATTTCTCTCTCATATTACAATCTTGTCATCATTTTCTCTTTTACACATGGTCTCTAAACTTCATTTCTGAAAGAAGAAATTGTTGGATGTAGAGGGAAGGGAAAGAAGGCATCTATATGTGAGGTATTTTACTCAGTTGATTATGGTTTCGCTTCTAAAGTAAGTTGCTTTGACAAATGTACAAGGACCAAGCCATCTATAGCCTTGTTCTTTAAATTTTCTGACTATGGGTACCTAATAATGCAGATATAAAGACTGGAAAAAGGGATACAAATTGTTTACAATACAATTGTTTAATTTGATTAACTATGGTTCCTTTCCTAGAACATGATTTGGATGAGTAATGTCTTCTTCAGTTGGATTTCTTAATCTGGCTGGTTACGGATTACTGTGAAGAAGAAAAATGAGGAGATTTTTAGCCCAGGAAGCGTTTGTACCAAACATTATGTCTGTAAAAAAGAGGGATATGATGTTGTAAAGTTTTTTTCCTCGTATTCTGTATTTCTCATGTGTTTAAATTTTGGATATGAAAAGAAATGCAAATAGAATTCTTGTTTAAAGATTTTTTTAGTTGTTTTGGTTTGCTCTGTACATTTATTTATATATGTTAGAACCAAAGTTTTTTCTCCTGCCTCTTTGCATAGATGTAATCAAGGGGGCCATCTACATGATACCTCAAATGGGTAGGGAGGGAGGGAGGGAGGAGATTGTGAAACAATCTCTTGTTTTCACATTTAGTATGTCTTTAAGTATCTTTGCTGAAACAGATTTTACCTCTGATTCTTTGTCTCTGTATTTACTTATTTTTGTGGTACTAAATAGGTGTAAATGGTTGCTCCTTGAAGACAGCGGAAAATCTTGAGGTAGTAAGGGGCATTCCTGTGGAAAGAATGATGATAGAGACAGATTCACCATATTGTGAAATCAAGAATACTCATGCTGGGATTAATTTTGTAAAGTCAGTATGGCCTTCTAAGAAGAAAGAAAAGTATGATCAAGATTGCATAGTTAAAGGCCGTAATGAGCCTTGTTTAGTTCGGTATGCAGAAATTCTTCCCTCATGGTGCCTTATAAATTGGATTCATTTCCTAGCATTATTTCCAGGTGGATATATTATTCTCTTGGAATTTTATAAAGAAAACCTATATAATTTTCAAAACATTTTGATTATTATGTCTGAATGTTTGACATCTGTCAAGAACCATCCTTAGCAGTAAAGATGGATTCTATGCAGGGCTGGTTTTCACCATTGTTTGCCAAATTATATTTACAATGTCTTCTTTGATCTCATATTAATGATACCACATCAATGAGCATCCCAAAATTCCAAATATCAATCATATATCTTTAAAATGTTTCCAGATATGAAAGGAATGCTTGCTTGCAATAAGCATCTCCCAGAGCATGTGCAAGTGTTTACAAATTTTCACAGCCACTTGGACTTGTTCATTAAATGGATGGGTTTGACCACGTGGACCTTGACCTCCTTTTTATGTGCCTACTTGGATCTATTCCACCAAATGATGTTTCTCATTGTTTGGTCCATCTCCTCGATAATTTTTCTCCTTTGCTCCAACACCTTTGCCACCAATGCTGGAAGAAACAAAAGTGGCAAGGCACTCCTGACTGAAGTAAATGTCATTCCCCTAGAAAAGGAATCTTTCTTCTGCTCAGCGCGTTGGTCAAGTTCCCTTGAAGCCATACCCACATGGCTATTGACCTAAAGTTATCTTTCACCGAAAAGGCTTAGGTATCTGGATAAGTCTGGCACCCCTATGTCCTAAGGCATGTCAGTTACATCAGTTGAGGATCTTGTCCCAAGTCTCAACAATAAAGACCTTGTTACTCATAAATAATAATAATAAATAAAATAAAGACCTTGTTATACACAGACTAGAATATGCCTCGTGCCAAGAATCACACAAGAACATCTTATTTTTCTTTAGGCTCCGTTTGGGAAGAGTGCAAGTGCTGGTTCAGTGCAATATAATCTCCCACGAGTGTATACTTGAGGTATTGTGAAGAGGTGATGTTTGCATTAGTTTTGGTGTTTCTGGTATGTGTTTCTTCAGCCCATGTATTGTTCTTGCTGTGGCATCTTGGTTGCAAAGATCATAGTTAGGTTTTCACTTACCTTTGTTGGCATATGAGAACTCATTATCAGTCCATGTTTGAGGTGTGTTACATTACTTCTGTGGCTCTTATCCTTAGTCAACCTTATTTCGATATGGTTTAATCTACTATCTACTATGTTGAAGCCTTGGGAACTGGTTGTAATTGTTGCCTTCAAGGTGTTTGATTGCTGGTCTATGACAGCAGTGTTTTGAAGTTCTTTCTACTGCAGCTGTGTTATTCTTTTGGATCAAATGACTCAAGTGCAAGGGTATATGTGGTGGTCTGGGAGTACTGCTGAGTGTTCAGGACCTATTTTTTCACTGTTTAGTTGACTGATTGGATTGTAAAGACCAGTCCACTGTTTTTTGATGAAGACAGATCTAGTTCCGATCCTTGGTTTAGGGTGTTTTTTTGTTTATTTTTTCAGGGCAGTATACTGTTATTTTTGGGGTTTCTTTTGGTGGTCTTGTCTGGTGTGTTTTTGGACACCCTGCAGGTGTTTGATCTTTGGTCAGTAAGGGAGGATGCGTGGAGTTACAAAGGAGTGTTGTTACTGTTTGTCTTCAGCCCTTGGTTTGCTGCCAATTACTTGCCATTGTGGGATAGTTTTAACATCTTATGGACATCATAACCACTTGTCATTGAGATATTTCAACGGCTTTAGAAGGTGCTATCACCTCTGCAACAAAGTAGGACATTGATTCTGGTAAGGAACTTCAGCAACTTGAGGAGACCTCAATCACTCCTATTAGCTTTTGTCTCCAATTCAGGTAACCAGGTCTCAGGTTTCCATGCGTCTACCCCTATGCAGTCCCCTTGGATCATTGATTGTGGGCAGCGGGCCACAAGCCATATGGCCGGTAAGCCAACATTATTTTCTTCATATCATTTGCTGTCAGGGAGAGATAGGGTGAGGCTGGTTGATGATTTTCATTCTATTGTTGCTGGTCAAGGAACTGTATCTTTCAAGTGGAGTTAAATTGAGCTATATTTATCATGTTCCTAAATTTCCTATCAATCTTTTGCCAATTAGTAGTATTACCCAATCTTTGAATTGTTTTATGACCTTTTTTTTTTCTGATTTGTGTGGTTTCTAGGATTTGACTTTGGGGAGGACGATTGGTAAAGGATGTGTGGTGGATGGTCTATATATTTTGGAAGATGCAGATGGTCTAACGGCAAATACTCCTACTATAATGAATCAGTCTTCCAGTTCTTGTAATGAAACTTAAATAATGTTATGGCATTGTTGCCTTGGTCATCTGTCATTCTCTTCTTTAAAAGTGTTGTTTCCGGAATTGTTTGAGTCTATGCCCTTGTCATTTCTCCAGTGCCCAACCTGCCTTTCCAACAAGTATTGCTGAACCACCTTTCAACCAAGCAACAAGAGGGCATTCCTTCCTTTCCAGATTGTCCACTTTGATGTCTGGGGCCCTGCTACTTTTCTTATCAAAGGAGATTACAGATTTTTTATAAGCTTTATTGATGATTTCTCTCGCTATACTTGGATCTATTTGTTCCATTCACAAGATGAAGTTCTAAAGATAATTCAGAATTTTCAGAGAATGGTGTTTACACTGTTCCATGTGGAAGTAAAAATTTTCCACTCTGACAATGCTTGGGAATATTTTCGGAAAGATATGACTCAATTTTTTGCTGAAAATAGGACCATTCACTAGTCTCCTGTCTAGGGACACCTTGGCAAAATGGCATTGCTGAAAGGAAAAATTACTATCTCCTTGAGGTTGCTTGAGGACTTACGTTACATATGCATGTTCCTAAGAAATTTTGTTCTCTATCCATATTTGGACCTTTGGCTGCCGTTGTTTTGTTCATAATTTATCCCCATCTTGTGGTAAAATTGATCCTCAGTCCATACCTTGTGTCTTGGATACAAGTGTATGACCCTTCTTCTCAATGAGTCTACATATTCATGATTGTGTCTTTCTTGAGTCTTAGTCTTACGTCCCCCCCCAAGGGGGAGAGACAAGTTCATCTTCCACTTTCTATTCCTGAGTCTCCTACTGTGCCTACTTATCATACTTTTGTGCATGCTCTTGTTCAACACATGTATTCTTTCTCTTGTTCTTGCTCTTGTCCTCATAGCCCGAAGGACCAACTTACATCTCCAGAGATAGGTGTTCTTGAAACTACACAACCTGAGCCGTTGGACTCTCAGGAGGTAAACTTGAAAGGTAATACTACTCCCTGTGAACCAGGTATTGTTTCTCCTTTGGACCCCTTTTGTGATCTTGATGTTCTAATTGCCCTTTGTAAAGGGACTTGCTCATGTACCACTAAGTATCCAATTTCTCACTTTACTACTCTTGATGTTCTCATTGCCTTCTAAAGGGACTCACTCGTGTACCACTAAGTATCCAATTTCTCACTTTACTACTATTGATAATGTATCTTCCTCTTATCGTACCTTTTTGTTTGCTATATCTCTAGTGTCCCTATACCTAAAATGTTGCAGAGGCCTTGGGTTTACTTGAATGGAAAAAATGCTATGTTGGAGGAGGTGGTACCTTCCTAACGGTAAAGTACTAGTGGGATGCAAGCGGGTGTTTTCTGTTAAACATTGTGCTGATGGGCTTGTGGAAAGGTACAAAGCTAGGCTGGTAGCAAAGGGCTTCTCACAGACATATGGAGTTGATTACACAGAGACCTTCGCTTCTATTACCAAAATGAACCCCATTCCTGTATTATTATCTCTTGTAGCTAATTTTGAGTGGCAACTACACCAAATGGACATTAAGAATGCCTTTTTGAATGATGATCTTGAAGAAGAAGTATATATGGTTCAGCCTCTAGGGTTTAGCACTAAAGAAACTGAAGGGAAAGTGTGTCGTCTCAAGAAGTCATTTTATGGGTTAAAGCAATCCCCAGAGCCTGGTTTGGTAGATTCAGTAATGTTGTGAAGTAGGTGGGTTTCAAGTAGTGCCAGAGTGATCATACACTCTTTGTTAAAAGAGATGGAGATTGGATTGTAGTCTTGATTGTTTATGTGCATTATATTACCATCATTGGAAACTGGGAGTCAGAAATACAAAAGCTAAAGAACTACTTGGGGTCGCCGTTTGGGGTCAAGGATCTAGGTCCTTTGCAGACGCACCAATTGAGAGAAACAATAGATTGGGTGAAAATGAGGCTGAGCCTCTATCTGATACAAGGCAATTTCAGAGGTTCATTGGTATACTTTTGTATTTATCCATGACAAGGCCTGATATTGCATATGCCATGGGATTGTTAAGTCAGTATATACATGCACCTAGGACCACACATCTGGTTGCTGCAAAACAAGTTCTTAGATGTCTGAAGAAGCATCCTGGGTAAGGTATCTTGTTTTCTAAACATGGACACTTGAGGGTGGAAGGCTATACAGATGCTGTGCTGGATCAGTGGAGGATAGAAGGTCCAGAACTGGTTATTGCAGGAGGTAATTTAGTGACTTGGAGGAGTAAAAAACAAACTATTGTGGCTGGATCTAGTGCTAAGGCTGAGTATAAAGCCATGTCGCATGGTGTGGCTGAGATTTTGTGTATCAAGAATATCATGGTTGAGTTGGGTTTTAGTGTTCCTATACCAATGACATTGTATTGTGACAACAAGGCTGCTATCATTATTGCCTACAATCTGGTTATGCATGAAAGGACGGAACACATTGAGGTGGATAAACACTTCATCCTCGAGAAGTTATAAAGTGGTGAAATTTGTATTCCTTATGTGAAAACAAGTGAATAGCTGGGAGATGTATTCACTAAAGGTGTTACTTGTACCCGATATATTGATCTTTGTAACAAGTTGGCCATGATAGATATATACTGCCCAACTTGAGGGGGAGTATTGTCAGGTCAGGGGTGTTCTCTCTTTATTTTTCTCTTTGTTTGTAACTAAGGGTATACTTGTCTTTTCTCTGTATGTTGATACTCTGATATATAAGACAAAGTGGGGCAGCCGCTGCTCAAACTTTTCTCTCTTCTTTCTTCTCTTCTCTTCTCCTCTCTCCTACCAAATCATACTACACTGGCTTACCTGAAAGGCTTCAAAATCAACCATTCAGATTTAAGAAGCATTTTGTTTAGAACCACTACCACTATAATAAAAAAGAAAGGAGATGGGGATTGCACTGATTCTCCATTAGCCGTAATTGAAAACAAGAGGATGTCATGACTTTAGGGCCCAACAGACAGAGGAAAATTAACAGGTCCTTAGACATACTTGAATTGGTGGGATGATGTTGGTGAATCTGGAATGAAAAGGTTCAATGTAAGCAACTGTTTTCCATCCATCAAACTGAAGGGGGTTCGTCAGATTTGGAATAGATTGGCTCCGTTAAAAAGATGTCTGCTTGGCAGATTTGTTGGGGCACTCGTGGATGAAGAGTTTGTTGTTTCTTGGGCATTGCAACATTAGAAACTGGTTTAGATGTTGCAAAGGTTCTTAGATGGGAATGGTCTCATCTATGTTAACCAGAGTTCTGTATTGACTGATTGACTGGCAACTGCCTGTATTAGAAATAACAATTATATGCTATTGGGTTGAATCAATGTAGTGGGTATTCTACTTCATACTTCGTGTGTCTAGACATTTATAGTGATTGGAAATGTTTGTTGTTGCTTTGTTTCTGTTGACAAGAACAATGTTTTATGGAGCTTCATTCGATAAGCAAGAATTGTTATCAGTGTCTAATTGGAATGCAGTACCTCTGGAAATTGATTTGGTGTGTGCAGGGGAAAGTGTTAAATTAGAATTGTGATTGAAGGTAAGGAACTCACAGTAGATGAGTTTGGGTAGGGAGATGGTTGAGTAGCAGGTTATGAGTGTAAGGAATGTTGTTACAGGAAGATAGGGTTATTAATGGTATTTCACATTTTAAGGAGGTACAAGTGGTTGGA